GTCAGACTATAACCAGAGTCTGTCTTGATCTCTGACACTTCCTCTCATCTTCCCCTTTCTGAATGTGCTCCTGTAAGTGTGTCACGAGGGACGCCGCACTCACATGTGCCATGATGAAGATGCTGTGTGTAACAGGTCTGGTCTTGCTATACTTATGGGGACGGATATGACACATACCTCCGACTGTTTTGTTGGTTTGCAAAACATTAAAGGTGCAGTCCACAACTGTCCTGGCCGCTTTTTGTGTGGGTTCATCTAGATGTCATTGTTTTATAATTAACCATTCCTTTTATATTAAGAACACGCATGTATTGTATCGTAGCTAAGTTGCAAGTTATAACTGTTGAAACTTCTTGTAGTAAAAAAACAAATAAACAAAGAATATACAGGTTTAAACCAAACAGGGCGTCATTACAAGCAAGAAAATAACTATCCATCACAAGAAGCAGTTATTGGAGAACTTCACAAGAAGCATCTCCCCCCCAAGACGAGGAAAGCACCTTTAAAAAATGAAAAGGTTAATGTCATCCAGTTTTCACAGAGACAAACTGCTGGGTCTTGTCTCATACCACCCACAGATGTCTGATCAGGCCAACTCCAGCCTCTGGCTGTTTAGATGTTTGTTCTTACAGAGGATTCTTTTGGTGCTTTGACTTTGGGAAGTGAATTATTTAGTTTCATGCCTCCATTGTCACAAAGAATAAGATTTGATGCTTCCACCAAAGTCAGTGGGACTCGTCATGTTCCGCGGGTGTTGCAGAAACCTGTATCTATAGTTCCTCATGCTCCGACTTTATTTACTGAACGCTCCACTGCCTTTTCACCAAAGCAATAAACACAACGTAAAGCTGCACCATGCTTCTCGTCTCTGTGGAGTGTTAGGACAATAAACGTTTCACCAAGATAGAGATGGAAGATAAAAAGAGAGTGATGTCATGGGGCCAACTTAAGGAAGGTCAAATATGGAAAGATTCTCAAGTCTTTAAAGCAATAAAAAACACATGGACTTTTTAATAGTTTACTTCAACTCTGTAATACGATGTTGCACAAGGTTTGGAAAAATGAAATCCACCTTAATTCATGTCATAGTTACAAACAAATAAGTGCAGGTTTGGGTTTGACTCTTTGTGCTGGCAACCTTTTTGGCCCCCTGTTGAGTACCACTGAGGACCCCCAGTGGGCCCCAGACCTCACCCTCTTTGGAAAGCACCGCACTAAAACTGCCTCAGGGTTGTTGTGTCTGTGCGTGTCTGTTCGTGACAACACAGTATAGAAAAGATGCAACTGGCACTTTTTGTGTTTTTGGCTAAAGATTCTGATAACATTTTTCAATCAGTGATAATGAAATAATTAACTGCATTCACCACCATCAAACTGACGAACACAGCGTATGTCATGGGACCAGTGCAGGCGGATATAGAGTCTGATCGTCAGGGGGAAGCGAGCCCTAGTCTATCTGCATGTTTGAGTGTGTGTGCCCGCGGGGGACGTCACGAATATGGATCGGCTGCCTTCATTAGCATGTACCTGGGGGGCTAACGTCCTTATGGGGGACCGGCGAGACAAGCTTCAGCGCTGGTTCTTCTGCTCTGTATCCTGAAGTGAGAGACGGCCCCGCCACTCCCCCCTGTGATCCTGACACTCCGGACTGAGGAGGAGGAGGAGGAAGAGGAGGAGGAGGAGGAGGAGGAGGAGGACGAGAGGCTCAGACAGACAGAGGGAGACAGAGGGAGACAGAAGGAGAGGGGCACAGGACCAAAATAGCAGTGGTTAAAAAAGAAAAAAGGGATGAGGAGGATAGACTTTCGGACCGAATGGAAACTAATAGTAAAGTCTAGGAGGGATCTTATAGAAGTATAGGGACGAGAGGTGACCATGAATAAACATGAGCGTTTGATGAAGTTTCAATCTGCCCACAAATTGGATATATGCAACATTAAAGCTGAGGGACCCAACGTTCAAACTACAAACAATGAACGTCAACAAACTCATCTCAAATTAATCTAACTGGTTCCTCCGCTCTAGCTTTTATTTTGTTTTATTTCAGTATAGAGTTAGAAGAAGAAGAAAGTCCTTTATTCATCCCACTGTGGGGAAATTTCAGTTTGATGAATACACATCCAGGCATGCAGAGAACATTACTTCTGCGCTCCTTAGGCGAAGTGGGTAAAGTGTCTTGCTCCAGGACACAACGACAGCAGATATCAGTCGGTGACTCCACTGACTCCTCTGACTGAGCCACTGTCGCCCCAGTCAGTCTGGTCTTACCATACCATCGTACTCATTTCATTTGCTCCATTGAGCTCAGTTAACAGGTGGAAGGGGTGGCCTTTGGCATTTAGCCTAGCTTTAGCCATCACCACGGAGCCCACGGGGAGTCGAGCTACAACATCTTTGCAGCAATGAAACTTGCTAAACAATCCTCTTGCTCCGGTTAAAATGTCTTGATATTTGGAACCGAACCAGAACAGATTACTTTACTGTCACATTCTCAGCCATTGCCAAACTACAACCAGCCAAATCAGCGCAAACTATTTGCGTCACCGACACCTCCCTACAACACCCGCCTCTCACGCTCGCTGATTGGTCGAAAGGGATTCAACCGAGGAAACTACATCCACTAGGATCAGACCCAGACGAACATGTAGGAAATGATAATGGAGAGTAGACGAGAGATTACAGATGGCCAGGCGAGTATAGAGTTAGTATTCATTTATCTTGTGCTGTGTGCTCCTCATTCCTGCTGTCTTAACTTGAGATGCAACACTGAAATGTCCCCACTGTGGATCTTGATCTTTTCCTCTTAATTCACTAGTTTGTCACATCTTAACGTCCTCTCTTTCAGACAGAACAAGATCAAAGCAAGTACAAATTCACCATTTCTGGTTAAAATTAATAATTACAAAAACATGCTGAATAATCTGTCAGAACAAAGTATTTACACGAGTGTCTCATTTGGGCTGCCAGTATCTCTGCTGAACTCCAGCTGGTTTGGTGTGTACCTAACCCCAGCAGAAGGCCATGATCAGGAAACATGTTTGTGATAAATGCTGGGATTATGGTAACAAAGGCTTGGATTGTATTTTAATTGGATATTAAACCAGTGAGAGCAAAGTGTTCTTTTAAAGCCCAGGCCGAGACCAATATCAGTCCAGCCCAACACTCGAACCCAGCCCATGGCCCATCTGACATGCATTAAAAAAACTCAGCATTTCGTCTGCCTGTCTTTTTAAATGACACAGCTTTGGCGCCTTTTGTAACTTTATTTATTCCACATAATTACTGTTGTTAATGATAAATGGCTATCATTTGCGCAACAATAGACAGTAAACCAAAATGGAGTGTGCTTTATACTTATCTGTTCCAAAGGTTGTAAAATTCGACCAATGAAAAACAAAAAATGGTAAAATAGATCATGCTTTATGTGATAGTTAGACAAGCAAAGGGCCATCTGTCGGAAAAGTGCAAGTTTAAAGCCCGTATTGAAGTACTGTGACATTTGTTTGTTTCACAGGAGTTGTGCATCTCTGGCAACACACAAACGCACAAACCAGGAGTTAAGAATGGTGATTATAAATTATTGTTTGTATGTTTGCACAGTGGAGCCTCTGCTGTCCTGAGTGCTCTCCTAGTGGCTCTTTGGTCCATCACACGGGGCTCCTCTCACGGGAATGTCACGATTCCCTCAGGAGAACCACATTCTGACAGTCGGTCTTCTCGGTCCAGAGGCAAAGGAACTCTTTAAAGAAGCAGTATGTAAGATTTTCATGTCAAGTCATCATTAAAGGGCCCTAATCTGTCAAAAGGCATTAAAAAAACTTTCTCTTTTACAATACTTATTTAACTGATAACAATAGTTCAGAGATATTTTGATTAAATTTTTTCTTTTTTACAGCCTCTAAATCTTGTTATTGTTTTCATTTCGATGTCTCGCCCTCCACCGTTTTACCAATCAGAAAGTCCATGATCCGGGTTGCCAGGACTCACCACGTCGAGCTAATATCACTGGTAAAGTACCATGTGGCGCAGTCTCATTATGATTCTCAAATTATTAATGACAAAACAAGGAATACAACCAGGATTTCTATCTTAATGAAAAATGTGTTGGTTATAGATTTGTTGTTCACAAAACTCTTCATTCAGATATTATGGTCCCAGCTGGACTCATCTGCATATCTGGCAACCTGAGTCAGGGAGGGTGCAGTACCACTTTTGGCCAGATATTTACATACTGCTCGTTTAAGCCCTCAGCTTAAACTGAACTGGGACTGAGTTGGTTTTAAAACAAACCAGCGATTTGATCATTCATGGGTCGGTGGACAACTTTGTATAATGTAAATGTAAAAATGTAAAATGTGTTTTTAATTGTGTTAAAAGCCCTTCTAGGGACGGACATTTCAAATTATCCTTGGCTATAAATGCTGTAGTGTTTCACATGTTGATTGTGTAGACTTAAATCAATAATCCTATAAAGTTTGTATTGTATTGTAGGAAAATTGCTCTCACAAATCTCATCCATGGAATCAGCAAAAAGCAAAAATCCGACATGACATGAGTTTGTGTAGATATCAAATTTACATATTGCGTGTTTCTTGTATTTTTTTCATTGGGGTCAGACAAGCAAAACACAGTCATTTGAAGTAAAAATATCCCGGAGTGATTAGAATATAGCCCGTACATGACATTTGAGTTTGTAAAGGTCAGACAAGAAGACTGTAAACTTCACTTGAGACGGACTGAGGAGAGAGCTGCAGATCTGCGAAACACTAATGATGTCTAATGAAATACAGTACAAGTCACCTCTGGCATCCGCCGTATTTTTGTGTATACACATTAACAACTTCACTCTGCGCGAGAAAATGCTGGTAATTAGTATGAAGAAAACTCAACTTGATGAGAGGATTTGTTTATTTATTCATTGTTTTTTTGTTGGTTAGGACAGTAGTGCACACCCCTCTGGATTGTCGTCCCTCAGTCTTGAAGAAATATTGAACATGTTTTTAGCAGTAGGGGAAACCGGAGCACACGGAGGACCTTGTTGCTGTGAAACAAATAATAATCACCACATTTATAAACTTGAACAAAATTATACAAATACTAGCTCAGTCTTACCATACCATCGTACTAATTTCATTTAATACTAAGGTCTGGATTTGCTTCAGTGAGCTCCGTTAACAGGTGGGAGGGGAACGATTGGATCTGTATTTACCCTTTATTATATTAAAAAATGACGTGTTCAAAATCCCTTATAAAGATGACCATGATTCAGGAAGTTAAATTCAAAAAGGTTTATTTCCCTAATACAAAAAGAATCTAAAACAGCTGTTCGGACCAAAAGTAACTATCCCTTATTCTCTATATAAAATATAAAAGTATGACTTTGGTGGGCGCTCCACGCAAGTCACACTCCTGTCCCTGGTCCGGTCTAGACTAACACAAGCATGAGGTTATTATAAGTAAATGTGCATGAAGAAGGGGGCGTGTCGTATCAGGCAGATCTCTGGTCCAAGGTCCGGCCTTTTCCTCCGTCTCGCCAAACCTGAACAGAAATCATTCACGCACTACCCCTCCCTAATTCTATAGATTTATTAGTTCCTCTGAGATAAGGCAGAGGGATCTCAAGGCTTCTCCTCCAGATTCTGGACTCCATCTCCTTCTTTCACAACTTGAAAGGATTAGCAGAATCCCCCCAGATTAACTATCATTAACTCACCCATGCACTTTGGACAAAATGGGACAAGGGGAGTAGGGCAATACAAGGTCTTTCTTTTTGCTTGGAGACAGACAGAGTTCAATTTCAGGTCAATCTAATTCACATCGCCTTTTAGCCTATATTTAATACAACAGTCCCCTCTTTTGGCCGCTATTAAAAAAAGGCCACACATTTCAATAACCTTCCTCAGGCGACGGGACGGGGAATCCTCAACCAATGCAAGCATTTGACCTCTCAGTCCAGGGTTAACAGCGGTGTCTATAGCTTTAACACAAAGAGAACGTATACAAGGTATACAGCAGCATCCTACAACCATTATTATTGCAAAGATGGCCGCAAGGCTTGTGATAACAGACAAAATTACATGCTTCCACTTCCCCAAGATGCTGTCCAGCCACGCCTCCATTGAGTGAGTGGAAACAGGTGTAATTGCTTTTCCTGTGGGAAAACATAGGGGGCTGAATTTCTGAATCCAATTCTGGAAACAATACTTCAAACATTGAACAGTTGCTACGGACTGTCTTTGTCTCCTCAGTCAGGTCCTTTTCTTGCCAAAACAACTTTATCATACAATTATAACCATCTACATCTTCTGGGAAAAGTGGAGCCGGGGCTGTATACAAAGTGGGACGTGCAGTAGAACACACAACACAATCGTCAAAGCCAGCAGCCGCTGACATGTGCTCCACTGTCCACAACCAAGCGTTTCTATCCCCATATCCAGTTGCTTGTTTTAACAATTCAGAAACAGTCCAGTCAGCAGTCACCTGTACGTTTTGTTTGTCTTGCCATACTTCACTATCTATGGCCTCCTTGTCTAGCTCCTTGTCCTCGGGTAGGGCAATTGAAATCCATTGTCTAATGTCTCCTGGATAATGTCCAATAACGTAAGTCCCATTCACATCAATCCCACAATTTTTCACAGTGACTAGCACCGTTGTTTGTGAGTGGTCTGTAGTCAGAATCACTCGTCCCTTCAATCTGTGTTCATTATTATAACCCCAATCAGGACCTGTATTGGATAAACATACTCCCAAGCATCACAGGTGCAGTCCACCGATGCTCTAAAGCTTTTTCCATGTCTCTCATATTTACATGTTGACGGTGTGTAACACAGGTAGAGTGTGTAGTCAGGTCGAAAGGATAATGGAAAGATTGTTGCCATTGGTATGTGGGCTGTAATTGTCGCACCCACCGGGCATTTTACTGTCACAACCGTAGGTAGAGAGTCTCTAACGCTGCCTTCTCCTATGGATCTTTTATTTCTGTCAGTCTTATTGGACCAAAGACTGGATTGTGTTACAAGTCTGGCCCTGTCTCTTAGCTGTGTGTTTTGTAACACTTCCCATGTTAAAATTCCCAGGACCACGACCAAACCAACTGCAGCGATAGCCCATAGGATGGCTCTCCCTCTTTTGGTCGTGGGCCAGGGCTCCCTGTCCCAAGGCAACATATTAAGAGCGAGTGTAAGCGTGTGTGTGAGTCACTGTCCAACCCGTGAGCGTGGTTACGAGGGTGGGTCAGATGGTCTCGTATGAGAGAGATGAAACCACTTGTTCCCGTGTCCCTTCAGTTGAACAGCTTTGCGAGTGCGGGCCACCACTTCAAAGGGTCCGGTCCAGCGGGGCTCGTTCCACTTCCTTTTGAACACCTTCACACGGACCCAGGCTGGTGGATCCTCCGAGGCCTCCTTCTCGCAGAGGTCGAGACTTCCTTCAACCTGATGGGAAAAACTAGACAACATTTCTCTCAATTGTTCCCAGTACACCCGCACTGGGGGTGTTGGGGAGTCGTCTTTCGTGAAAGGCACCACCCTGTTTCCTGGTCCTGGCATAGGCCTCCCTGTTAACAGCTCGTATGGGGAGAAATGGTGAATGCGGTTAACAGAGTGCCTTGCTGACAACAGGGCAATAGGCAATGCCTGTAGCCAATTCAATTTACTCGTTGCCAGGATTTTAGAGAGTTTACTTTTCAAGGTCTGATTCATCCTTTCAACTCGGCCCTGGGATTGAGGATGGTAGACCGTTCCAAATTTATGTTTTAGCCCCAGATGTTTTTCTACCAATTGCAAGTGTTTGTTCCTGAAATGCGTCCCATTGTCAGACCTTATTAACTGGGGAAAGCCATGCGTTGGGATGTAATGCTGAATTAAGGCTTTGATTACAGAGGCAGCATCCTCTTTTGCAGCAGGATATGCCTCAGGCCATCCCGTAAAGGTGTCAGTGACGACCAACAGGTACCGCTTTCCTGCGCACCTGTTAATCATATCTGTGAAGTCCATCACAACATGTGCCCCAGGCCAAGCAGCAGGTGTGAATTTTCCTGGGGAAACAGCTGAGCAGGGCGATGGGTTATAATTCTGACATATTTGACAGGACCTAGTATAATCTTGGATCATGCTTGTCTTAAAGGGATGCCACCATTGTGACATATTCCTGAGCATCTGTACCTGACCCACATGGGCTAGCCCATGTGCCTCAGATAAAGCCGCTCGTGAGAGGTCCCCCATGGGCAGGGCAGGGCGGCCATCAACAGTACCAGATGCCAGTATCTGGATCCTTCTTTGCCCGTTTTTGAACCCACATGGATATTTCTTCAGGAGCTGCTTTTGTTTGGGCTTCAGCTAAAACCTGAAGGGATAGATCGGGCAGGCAGTCTGCCAGGTCTGGCCCCTCGTCCCGAACCACTAACACTCCTGGAGTACTGACCTTGTAGTTGGCAGCTTTCTTTGCGGCCTCATCCGCCGCCTCGTTTCCCCTGGCCTCAAAGTTGTCTGACTTGGAGTGCCCTTGGCACTTGATGACGCTTACCTGTTTTGGAAGCTGGAGAGCGCTGTCCAGCCTCTCCACCAGGGCTCTATGTGTGATGGGTCGGCCTTTAGCAGTCAAGAAGCCGTTTCTTTTCCACTCGGAGAGGTTGAAATGGACAGCCTGAGTAGCATACGCAGAGTCGGAGTAAATATTTACAGATTTACCTTTAGCAAACTCCAAGGCGGCGCAGAGAGCCTCTAGTTCTGCCGCCTGCGCTGATGGTTTGTCAGTTAAAACACCGCTGTTTACTGTAACAAAATTTTCACCGTTAACACTGACAACTGCATATGCCGCTCTCAGGCTGCCATTCCTCTCTCTCCAGCAACACCCATCTGTGAAAAGCTGTAAGTCGGGGTCCTGAAGTGGGTCAGTCTGGAGGTCAGGTCGCACTTTCAGACTGTCTATTACCCTTACACTGCAGTCATGCGGCTCACCCTGTCTTGGCATGTGGTCAGCCATGTTAATGCCAAGAGGTGTAAAAGTTATGTGGGGCTGAGTGAGCACCTGTAAGAGCCGTGACTGTCTCAAAGGTGACATAGTGAATGCAGCTGAGGACACATATGCACAAACGCCATGATCAGTCAATATTTCTAAAGCATGCCCCATGACTAAATGTGCTGTTTTCTTAATCAAATGTCCCACTCCTGCAGCATACCTAGAACAGTCAACCTGTCTAGCCTCGATTGAATCCAATGGAACGCTAATATACTGTAAGATTTTTCTCTGGCCTCTGCACTTTTGATATAACACCCCGTTAGCTACCTGAGACTGCACTGTGGCATCTAAATAAAACGGGAGAGCATAATCTGGTGAAGCCAAATGAGCCGCAGAGGATAGGTCCTGTTTGAGTGAGATAAACTGTGCCTCACTATCTCTGTCCCAATTCAGTTTAGCCCTTGTGTTTCTCATGCCATGTTCATTAACTAAAGCTCTTAAAGGTTTAGTTTTGTCTGCAAAATCTGCCACATAGTGTCTGCTATACCTATCAGACCCAGGAAGGACAACATGTCCCCCACCATGGTGGGTCTGGGATATGACAAAATAGCATCTCTGTGCTCTGGAGACATATTTGTGGATCCTCCAGACACACTACGTCCCAGGAAGGTCACCGCAGGCCTGCAACATTGTAGCTTTTCCTTACTGACCTTAAATCCTTTTGAATGTAAGAAGACTATAGTGTCCCTAGTGGCTTGTAGACAGGCCTGCTCCGTTCTCGAGGCGAGGAGGAGATCGTCCACATACTGTAGGAGTACCACGCCCTCCGGAAGCACCAACTCTCTCAGCAGAGCGTTCAAAGTCTGATTAAAAATGCCCGGGGAGCATTTATGTCCCTGGGGAAGACGGGTGTAACGCAGTTTTTGGCCCCTGTGAGTAAATGAGAAGAAATCTCTGCTTTCCTCTGCCAGGGGAATACAGAAAAATGCATTAGCCAAATCCATAACAGTAAAATACTGGAGGTCTGGTGACAGTGATGACAGCATTGTATAAGGGTTTGGGACCGGGAGACACTGAGTTAAT